GGGGGAGGGGGGATATTCTAACTAGAAAGTTCTCTAAGTATTACTTAGGCTAGTTGTCTCTTGTTGCCACGGCGTCTGTGCTGTAATGCTATGGTCCTTACCCGTAGTACAGGAAAAGTAAAAAAAAAAAGAAAAAAAAGCCCATAATTTTACAAGTCCGCGCCGAGCAGTCTCTTTTATGTCCTTCCTGCCGCTGAGATTCTGTAATCCCTTGAGCATTGATTCCTTTGTGCTTTGTGAAAAAGAGTCTTCTTGAGCCCCTGTATCACGAACATAACCTGTAAATGGCGCCAACAGATGTGAGTTGTTGGGGGGGGGGGGGGGGGGGGGCGTCATCCCACTTCTTGCGTGTCTGTGTGCCGATTAGGACCATAGTGGGATTTGCCTTGGTCGATTTCATTCAACTCTTAAGTGACTGTTTCTGTCTCGGTGGGTGGTTGATGGGTGCTTTGGTGTTGTTTTACTCCTTCTTTCCAATCAAACGTCTATCTATCCTCGTTATCTCTCCCCCGTCTTTTCTGTGTTTGTTACTCTATTCTAACACCTCTTATCTTCGGCACTTATAATATGACCTTATTGTGTTGCAAGTGCCACAAAACGCTTACTAAAACAATACTGTGTCGATGACCTTCCTTTCACTGTTCACTCAGACACCCTAACCCCCTTGAGAATTGAACTTCGAACCTTTGCTGCGCAGATCCAGTTAGTTAGCAGCTTACCCCACCACAGTAGTTGCCAACACTTGATCCACAACAGCAAATACGTTTCCTCTCAAATTAAGGTCTAATACAACTGGCTTCCCTATTGTGGTGGTAAGTCTCTCTGCCTTTTTACTCAGAAAACGTGAGCTCAATACCAGGGTTTGGGAAGAAGAAGAAGAATATGTGAGGCAGCGTGGTGGAATCAGGCTGTCGTCAAAATAATCAAAGTGAAGGAACTTACTTTTTTCTGTTGGTTTGTGAATTTTTATCAAATTTTTGTTTTTTGGCTCAACACCTTTCATGTCCTTTAAAGAACTCATTTCTGTGAGGATTTTTCTGAAAAACGTTGATTAAGGACACAAAAAAAGTAAATTTTCAGTTACCACAGACTCTTAAGCTAGGGAAATAACCAATCTTTGACGGCCTTTTCTCTCTCAATTTGCTTCTGAAAACAGGTGACACCCACCTCCTTCATTCGCAAATATTTAAACTTGTATTCAAGATAAATGGATATTTTTTTTCATACAAATAAAGACAAGTGAACAAGCTTTACGATGATACCAATAACTCTACATGCCGAAAAATTGACGAGAGCCTGAATCCACCACGCTGCCTCACATATTATTGTATCGTGTTCGTTTCTTCGTCTTTCTGCTGGGACGGTATAATTTGATTCACCTCACGGTGAACTTTGCCAGGCAGGCAGGGTCGGAGTAGCCCGACTCTATAATGGTATGAGATGTGTCCAATGGGAGCATAATAACGCGTTTACAACCATTACGTTCAGAATTATTCTCCTCCCCCAGGTGATAAAGATGCTGATCACAATCATCCTGGCGTTCTTTTTGTGCTGGGGCCCCAAACTCCTGCTGGCCATACTGCAGAGGGTTGGCTTCCAGTGGATGTTCAGTCCACAGGCACTCAACACAAAGGTGAGTTTGAACTCAAAATGAAATAGGAATACACGACAGAACATTATCATTTGTGAGGCAGCTCGGTGAAATCAGGTACTCGTCAAAATAATCAAAGTAAAGAAACTGACATTTTCCCACAGGTTTTGGGATTTTTATAGCAAATTTGTTTTTTTTTGGCTCAACACTTTTCATGCCCACTAAATGTGAGGCAGCGTGGTGGAATCAGGCTCTCGTCAATTTTTGGACATGTAGAGTTGTTGTTATCATCTTAAAGCTTGTTCACTTGTCTTTATTTGGATCAAATAAACATCCATTTACTTAAATAAAAGTCGAGATATTTGCGAATAAAGGAGATGGGGTCATCTGTTTTCAGGGGAAAAATTAGTGAGAAAAGGGCCACCAAAGAATAGTTATTTCCTTAGCTTAAGAGTCCGTGGCAACTGAAAGTGTACATTTATTGTACCTTTAATCAGCGTTTTAAAAAAATCCACATAGAAATGAGTTCTTAAATAGGCATGAAAGGTGCTGAGCCAAAAAACCGAAAATATGACTAAAATTCACAAACCTGCAGAAAAATGCAAGTTTCTTCACTTTGATTTTTTTGACGAGAGCCTGATTCCACCACGCTGCCCCACAAATAACACATTTCTGTGTGGATTATACTGAAAAAACGTTGACTAAAGGCACACGAAAAGTAAATATTAACGGATGTTGTTTTCATCAAAAGCAAGACAAAAGAACACGCGTTAGGGTGATACCAGTAAC